GTCGACAGCGGCGAGATCGGTTGGTGGAAGCAAGGAACCCGTACACCGTACACTGGATATCCCATGGGCGTCGACGTTGCGGACGGACGGGCTCGAGATGATTGAGTGAAGAGTTGTGGATATGTGAGTCCGCTTGATGAAAGGGGACGAGAGTGACCTTGGGCTGCATCTCTCGCTGTGACTTCGCGTGCACCTAGCGGGTTGTTGATGTGGGGGGGCGCATTGTCTTTCCCGGCCCCTGGAGAGGCCAACCTCCCGGCGCGGGAGCGGCGCCGAGGCCGAGCGTGGCGGGGCGTCGACGCCTCCCATTTGCGGCGAAGCTTGCAAACATACAAACACACGCACGCACGCACGCACGCACGCACGCACACACGCACGCACGCACACACACACACACACACACACACACACACACACACACACACACACACACGCACACGCGCACACACACACACACACACGAACACACACACACACACACACGAAAACACGCACACACACACACAGAGAGAGAGAGAAACACAGAGAAACACACACACACACACACACACACACACACGCACACACACGCTCGCAAACACACACGCACACGCGTACGCGCAGCTCCCCCCCAGTGACTCGCGGAGACGGTGCTCGGCCAGGCGGCCCGCCGCCGCCCCATGCGCCACAGGGGCCGTCGCCGCCACGACGAGGGCGCGTTCCGCCTCCTCGACCTGCTTCATAATACAGTGGAGGCCCATGCCAAGAAACACCCTGCTTGCCTCCAGGGTGCCCTGGGTTTCTTGGGTTCCGATGGTTTTGCGACGGAGAGCGCGACGTTCCCACACCAAAGATTAATCGACGTCCTGGGGTCTCAGGGTTGGGTTTCATGTGGAAAGTTTCTTGTGGACTGGCCTCCACTGTATACTACGGCCACGAACTTTGGCCTAGCGTGTCGCGCCGCCGGTTCTGGCCCACCACGCGTCGGCGCGACACGCAGTCCGCATCCCAGACCCCAGGCGTCAACGCTTCGGGTGTTTCCCAGCCTCCTGCCCCGCGGAGCGGAACGACACGCCATCCGTTCGGAGGGCACAGCGTGTCGTCAGGGCCGCGGCAGCGACACGCCGAGCAAAAGTTTCTGACCGTCTGCCACGCCGCCGCGGCCTCTCGGGCGACGGCGCCTCGGCGGGGCCGTCGAGGGGCTCGCCGCGTCCGCGGGCGCGTCAGGGGCGGGGCTGCGCGGAGAGGAGCGCCACGGCCGATCGGAGGATGCCCTCCGCCGCCTGCAGGAGCCGCGCGGCCCGCCGGCGGCGAGCCCAGCCGCGAGCCCCCCGAAAGGCCCCCGGCGCCGGCGCCGAGCGGGAGCATCCTTGGCGAACCTTGGCAGCAGGACGGCGCGGCAGCGGGGTCTGCGGCGCGACGAGCTGGAGCCAAGACGGTGCTGTGCGAGGGAGGGCTGAAGGAGGAGGAGGGAGGAGGAGGAGGAGGAGGAGGACGAGGAGGACGAGGAAGACGAGGACGAGGAGGAGAGCATGGAGGGAGGAGGAGGAGGAGGAGGACAAGGAGGGCATGGAGGAGGGCATGGAGGAGGGCATGGAGGGGAGGAGGAGGAGGGGGGGAGGAGGAGGAGGCAGGATGGAGGTAGAGGGGAGGAGGAGGAGGAGTGAGGAGGAGAGAGGAGCGAGGAGGAGGAGGAGGAGGACGTGGAACGAGGAGGAAGAGTGTTGGAGGGCCATGGAGGGCCGAGAGGAGGACGATGACACGAGGGTCGAGGCCAGAGTCGAGGACAGAGGACGAGGAGGTAGGCAGGGCATTGAGGGCCTTGGAGGGCATGGAGGGGAGGAGGAGTTAGGAGGGGAGGAGGGGGGAAGGAGTGCTAGGAGGGAGGAGGGAGGGAGGAGGAGGAGGATGGAGGGACTTGGAGTGAAGGGGAGGAGGGGGAGGGAGGGAGGAGGGGGGGAGGGGGAGAGGGTACGGAAGGGGGGAGGGGAGAGGGGATGAGGGGAAAAGGTGAGAGAGGGAAGGGGAGAGGGGCGAGGGGGAGAGGGGGACAGGTAGAGCAGGGGAGTGCGATGGGAGAGGGGAGAGGGGAGAAGGGAGAGTGGAGAGGGGAGCGGGGAGAGGGGAGAGGGGAGAGGGGAGAGGGGAGATGGCGGCGGACGAGGCGAAGGAGGACAGACATAAATTTTCCCTTCCCCTCCCTCTACGGAGGATGAGGAGGAGGAGGAGGAAGAGGAGGCGGAAGATGTGGAGGAGGAGGAGGAGGCAAAACAAGGGACGAGAAGGAGGAGGAGGAGGAATGGCAGGGTAGGCAGAGGAGTGCCAGGACAAGTAGAGCCGCCCCCCCCCGTGGAGTTCTGCACCACGGACCTGCGCCTGGAGCTCACCGACAAGATCGGACAGGAGGCGAGGCCCCTGATCAGCGAAATCGCCCAGGCGCGCACTGGCCTCGCCTTGCCAACCGAGGCTCGAGGTTCGAGGATCGATGATCCAGGCTCGAGGATCGAGGGTCGGGGTTAGCGGGACCTTTCGCAGGGCCTTTTAGGGCCTGCGGTGGCGTCCCGGGACCCCGGGTGGCCTGCAGAGACCTGGAGACATCCAGGGACATTTGGAGACACCAGTCAGTAAAAAATCCACAGTTACGGATGTGTACATAGCTCTTTCACAGCACGATGTCTCAACGGAGGGTGAGGAGGAGGACGAGGAGGAGGAGGAGGCAGAGAAAGAGGAGGGTGAGAAGGAGGCGGAGGATGGTGGTCCCGGTGACGGTGATGGTGGTAATGGTGATGATGGTGATCATGGTGATGATGATGGTGATGATGATGATGATGATGGTGATGATGGTGATGGTGATGACGGTTCTGGTGATGATGATGATGATGGTGATGATGATGATGATGATGATGATGATGATGATGATGATGATGATGGTGTGGGGTTGGTGATGATGGTGATGATGGTGATTGTGATTGTGATTGTGATTGTGATGGTAGTGTTGATGATGATGATGTTGATGATGATGATGATGATGGTGGTGGTGATGACGGTTATGTTGGTGATGACGATGATGATGATGATGTTGGTGATGATGATGACGATGACCATGACGATGATGTTGATGTTGATGTTGATGGTCATGATGAGTATGATGATGACGATGATGGCGATAATGATGACGATGAAGATGCCGATGATGATTATGACGACGATGATGATGATGATGATGATGGTGGTGGTGTCGATGATGATGGCAATGATGGGGACGATGACGATGCTGATGATGATGATGCTGATGAGGATGATGACGATGACGATGATGCTGATGTTGATGGTGATGATGAGTATGATGACAATGATGGTGATGATGATGATGATGACGATGACGACGACGACGGTGATGATGATGCTGGTGATGATGAGGACGAGGATGAGAATGAGGATGAGGATGGTGGGGATGCTGATGATGATGCTTATGCTTATGGTGACGACGACGATGATGATGATGATGATGATGATGATGATGATGATGGATGTTGCATGTGAGATGATGATGATGATGATTGATGATGATGGATATGGATGATGATTGACGATGATGATAAGGGTGTGGAGTGGTAATGGTCATCGGTAATGGTAATGATGTGCAGAATGATGGTAGTATGTGGGAGGCTGTCTAAGATGAGAATGAAATGTTCTGCTAGCAGGATTAGGGGAGGAGGGGCTAGGAGAGGAACGGGATATGAGGAGTGGATCGACACAGTCGCACAGCGAGCGGCGTTTTTTATTTTGGGAGATTCACTCTATTGCTCCTCCTCCTCATCCTCCTCATCCTCCTTTTCTTCCTTCTCCTCCTTCTCCTCCTCCTCCTCATGCTCCGCAGCCGCAGCCTGAACGTTCAAGTTTCCCGTTCAAGCTGTTCACTTCCAGTCCGCGTCCGTGCCCCGCGACCTCAGCTACGAGGGTACCAAGTGCACTCTGGGCAGAGGGATACGCATCGTCAGAGTGAGGGGGCCGAATGGTCAGTCACTGTCCCTGGGTGCGTGGCTGAAGTGGGCTTCCGCGATGCGGATTGTTGTTGTTGCTGTTGTTGTTAATGGTGTTGCCAATGTTGTTAAGTTTGTTGTTGTTGCTGCTGCTACTGCTGCTGTTGTTGCTGATGCTGCTGTTGCTGTTGTAATTGCTGTTGCTGCTGTTGCTGTTGTAATTGCTGCTGCTGTTGTTGCTGTCTGTTGTCGTCGTCCCGCCCGCGACCCAGCCCGCGACCTGGCCCGCGACCCACCCACGACCCACCCGCGACCCACCGAACGACCCACCGCGCGACCCGCCCGCGACCCACCCGCGACCCACCAGCGACCCACCAGCGGTCCAACGCGACCCACCCGCGTCCCACCCGCGACCCGCCCGCGACCCGCCCGCAACCCATCCGCGAGCCACCCCGCGACCCACCGGCGACCCACCCCACGGCCCACCCGCGACCCGCCCACGACCCACCCGCGACCCACCCCGCGACCGACCCCATCATTCTTTTCTGCAATTGCGGGGTGCGACACTACCATCAGATTCGTCATCATCCTCATCGGCACCATCAACCTCATGATCATCACCGCTAACAGAATCACCAGAATCATCAGCAGCAGCATCATCAGCATCATCATAATCGTCGTCATAAAAATTTCGAATCGTCCGTCGTCGGCTCCGGCGCATCATCAACAACATCATCAACACGTCGTCGTCCTTATCATCATCATCATCATCATCATCATCATCATCATCATCATCATCATCATCAACATCATTATCATCATCATCAGCATCAGCATCACCATCAGCATCAGCATCAGCATCATCATCATCATCATCATCATCATCATCATCATCATCAATCTACGATCATCGTCATCTCATCACATCATCATCATCATCATCATCAGCATCATCATCATCATCATCATCAATCATCATCACATCATCATCATCATCATCATCATCATCATCATCATCATCCGCAGTGCAGCATCAGCATCAGCATCATCATCAACATCATCATCGTCATCATCAGCATCAATATACATCATATAAAGGCGCACCGGGTCCGGGGGCCCGGGGCCGGGACCCCGACCACAAATGTGGGCTCCGGGGGGCCCGGAGGCTCGTCGGACCGCCGGACGCCGTCCAAGATCGTTCGCAGGCGGCTTCGAAACGCGCTCCGATGGCTCCAGATGCCTTCCAAGACGCCTGTCATGACACCAATAAGGTCCCAGAAGCCTCCAAGACGCTCCGAGAGGCAGCCCAAGAGAGGCCCAAGAAACAAAAATCGTGCCATTCCTATGGGAAAACGTATATTTTTCGCATGTTCGCCTCTTGGGCTTTCACCGCGTCCAAGACGGCCCAAGAGGCGCCCAAGACGGTCTACGAGGCCTCCGGGAGCGCTCCAAGGCTGCGCACGAGTGGCCCAGGACGGCCCCAAGACGGCCGAAGAGAGCCCCAAGATGAGTTCGCGAGGGGTCCCAGACGGAGAAAGCCCACCTCGGATTCCGAGCTTCCGGCCCAAGAGGCTCCAGGAGGCGCCAAAATGCCGCCAAGAGGCGCCAAAAGGCTCCCAAAAGCACCCCAAGACGTTCCGAGAGGCACCCCAGTCCAAGGAACAAAAATCGTGCCGTTCCTATGGGAAAACGTATATTTTTCGCATGTTCGCATCTTGGGCTTTCACCGCGTCCAAGACGGCCCAAGAGGCCTCCAAGACGGCCTAGGAGGCTTCCGGGAGCGCTCCAAGGCTGCGCACGAGTGGCTCAGGACGGCCCCAAGACGGCCCAATAGAACCCCAAGACGACTTCGAGAGGGGTCCCAGAAGGAGAAAGCCACTCTCGAATTCCGAGCTTCCGGCCCAACACATCCCAGGAGGCGCCAAAACGCCGCCCAGAGGCGCCAAAAGGCTTCCAAAATCAGCCCAAGACGTTCCGAGAGGCACCCCAAGAGAGGTCCAAGAAACAAAAATCGTGCCATTCCTATGGGAAAACGTATAATTTTCGCATGTTCGCATCTTGGGCTT